GCTTTTAACACTTGGCTTCAATTATTCAATCAATATCAACATACAACAACGATACAAATTACCACATCTTATATCAGCCCAACAAGTAACAAAGTAGTAAGATGAAAGTTGAAGGAAGAGAGAAAAATCGGTGAAAGTACTAGAAAACAACTTTTTTTAAAAAGAGAGGAAGGAAGAATAAGAGAAAACGTTGAATTTAGTATACCTGTAAAGATGTAGATTATGTGTGGAAACATTTGCATCACTGACATCGGTTCTAAGTCATATCACCTCAAGTTTTCAATCATAGGTGTTTGTTGCTATGTGTTAACCCAATTGGCTAGTTTGCATCTTCCTACACGACTCAAAGGTTTTATCCGCTAATGTCATGTAGTAGTCCAGCCGTTCCAAGCTTTTTTCTAGCCTGAACTTACTTCAGTTAACGTTGCACGACGAAGCAGATGGCGGCTAAGCATGCGTAATGCATATCCCAACCGCTATAGTCGATGAAGGTTCAAGACCTCATCAACTGACTATCTTCTCCTTATTAAAACTTTATCTCCTGACATCTGAGTTACTCACGTGGTGACACCACGACGTGCGACCTATGGTACACACATCAGAAGCCTTCTCAGAACACCTGACTTCTAGTAAAGAAAGCCTCTTTATACATCGTCATCCCTAATACTGAAGGTGTGACTCATTATTTCCGCGCTGTATGGTCATTTGTACCCTTTCAGAGTTAAATGCGCATTATATACAGTAGTGTTAATGATGGTAGACAAGTTATCAAACATTGCTGGTTCACTAGTGGATTTTGGATAAACGGTCTTGAAAAATCATTGCAATTAAAAACTACTCAACAACTTTATTCACATTCGTGCAGTAGACAATGAGCCACACCTATAGTGTGAGAGGGCTAATGATACTCACTACCTGGCTACGGAGCCGGAGTGTAGTTACAACCTAGACCGATGAGTCGCATATCCACTAAAACAGCCTTAAAGATAATAGATAAATTCCTGTTTCATCAATGAGCAAACAAAAACCATTCGGACAATAATGATGGATAGTGGCTTGCAGTGGAATCTAGGATTCGCATTTCGTTCTATTTTGGACTCGTCAGCTGGACGTACCTACCTCCCACTGGGATTGGAACTCGGTACCGTCCGCTTCAAATGCGAGAGCGTTATCCACTAGACCAAGGAACCACGATAACCAATTCTTGTGAGATATTGACGCAATATCGAGGCATCTGTGCAGGAGCCCATATGACAGTAAAGACTGATCGATTCGGTCCAATCAACGACGGTATAATACTAGGAATAGCAATAATTAGGATGAGTTAAAATATTTTTATTATAAAATAGATGAGAAAGAATTCACACACACTGTAAAGAATTTCTTACTGCATTTTTCATAATTCAACAAGATAACTTACTTACCACCCACACCAGTTAATATTTTGATAACTTCAGCCGCTTGCATAGTTCCAATTATACCGGGGACTGAAAATAATTATGATGAAACTGATTAGCATTTTGAATATATACTATAGGAGTAAATTTTGTTTTCATTAGAAAGATGGCATGTATTATTGGTTTGTGAGTCTCATTCAACAATATTCATCAATAACTGATAACCATCTGATACAATGACTAGGCTTGCATATATCCCAAGAACTAAAGAACTATACCGTATGAGAAGATCGCTCTTTACAGTTCTTCTAAGCCATAAATGTCTTTTGGATGGTGATGAGAATAAAGTCAACAGCCGTAAAAATCCATAAAAGAGGAGTGAGGTAGAGGGTTAAGTGACGCTACTGATAGGATAAGGATAGCTGACCTTACAAGCTGCTGTTACCTTGTATTCTTCAGGAAGAAGAAGAAGAAGATTTCATCACTAAGACTGAACATTCACCTCAGTCCAGTGGCCTTCTAGTGTTAACAGTAGAAGCATTTCGTCAAGCACAGATGTCATAAAACTGAAACTAAATGTAAAACCTGCAGACATACAGTCTCCCAGGCTGTGTGATCCAGCAAGTACGTCCACAAAATCGTGCTTTCGTATTAACTTTTCATTTCAGGCTCTGTAGGAAGTATTCTTCCGTAGTGTACGCATGTAGGAAATACTAACTATCTTCTCATCCATGCACAAACACACACACTTTATAAATATCATCAAGTTACGTCGTTGCCTTTGAAGTTTTCTTCACATTACTACTGATAACTCTACATCATATTCAACCTTACACAGGTCTACAGTTCGCGGTCATGATTCTAGTTCACATCGTTGGTTTACTGAAGGAATATATCCAATCCCAAGAACATGCTGACTAGATGATATCCTAGCATCTAATGTCCTGGATGTATGCTGCATTTGTGAAGAATGTATAAAAGACCCAAGTGTGGTTATTCACTTGAACTCACATGACCAGTGTGTCGATTCCGCAGCAATCAACCTTCGAGTACCTGAGAACACCTATTTTTTCTCACAGCTTTCCAGGTTTATTTAGGTGACAGTTCCAGTCGCCTGTGCTATAGTAGAGACTGACAGGAACAGCGACGTATCCCAACTCAAGTCGAAGATAGATACAGATAAACCAATCACCGCGTTATCGAGGGAAACAATCGGTGGAGGGTTATCACTGCTTCTAAAGCATGTGCTTAGAAAGTGACTTCGTTGGTTCAAGCATTCGTATACTTGCACCTAAATGGATGTCGGAAGACTACAACCTGAAAGCCTTTAGGCCCAACTCTATAATTAGAATACTGAGTCTGCCTTGAACGACTAATTGACTGCACGGTTATTTCAGAGATGACAATGTTATCGTGATGATGCTTGGCATCACCTTCAGTCTGAAGCTAGAAGTGGAGAAGACTGACTCTGAGAACAAAGGTTGAAAAGAGGTAGTGGATCTGGGGTCCTTCATTTGAACTGATAGATTCATGTGAACATATTGCTGAAGGCTCAGAGCACAATGAGAATCAAAAGTAACTTTAGTGTAGACTATGGAAGAGCCTACTCAGTGATGGGGAGAGAGGACTAAAGGAATGGAAAAGACAAAGGTAGTGGCAGGCAGTAATTCAGACATGTTGTGGAGACCTGGTCTAAAACGTTAGTCGTTAGTAAGACTATGATGGAGTCTTTGATTCTTATATCATGGATACAACTGGAACAATAGATACAACACTTCGAGGAACAGTTGAAGTGATCTATAGTGCGTCTTTGACTGTTCATTATCTAATCAAAGCCTACGGGGAACATTGGTAAAGGTCTTTAATGATTATTACTGATGCAAAGGAATGCATTGGAATGTTTGGACCGGTGTTTCAATGTTCGTCCAGCTAATATACGCTATGTTCAAAGTTCTCCATTAATATCAATGCTATATATAACCCTAATTTCGCATAGCTTTTGACTAATGTTTTAGGCATGACTTTAAAATAGCCCACATAATTGTTTTCATACCGTTACTAGTTTTTTCTTCTCTCTCCTATCAACGCTGGACTCTCATTGGTTGTTTACTATTTTAACCTATATGTGGACTTCGTGTTGTCAAGGTCATCTAGGAGTGTATATATTCAGCATTGCTGTCAACTGTTTTGACTGTTGTTGAGACAGTAAAAAGCAGTCTGTCAACAGTCTGTCTTCTCTTCGCGCATCGATGGTATTGTTTTGATGGTGGTTGACGTTCTGATTTGCGTTAGAGTCGATTTGTTTGCGCGTTAGGTTCGCATCGTTTGTAGGCTGTCACGCCATACTACCAGTCATAGCAATCAGTTTGAATTTACTTTCATATATATAAGCTAGCCTTTTCGAGTCAAAGATGTTTGGCAACTTATAGCATTTCATCACATGTCTTTATAGTGTTACTGGCACTAGCTGATAAAACTAACTTATGAATCCCGAGACCATAGGATGTAATCTCAATCAGAAGATTGTTATTCTATTAGTGATTTGAACACATTTCGTGCTTATCAACACAGTGACTTTTGCACCAAGCAATACAAGATGACTGGATGGAAGAAGAAGAGAGGTGATTAGTTTCAACATGGTAGAATAACCTTTAGAGTGAGAAACAAAGATAAGTGGCTGACTGATTTAAGGAGTTGACTTTCAACCCTCAGTGTATCATAGGTTCAAATACCACTCCACTTACCGAGGCTTTGGTAGGCAAGTACAATCGTTTACCCTAACAATACCATAGGTATGGCTCATTGCCTACTACATGAATGTGCACAAGGTCGCTTTTGATAGTCAGTCTATCGATGCCCCATTTTTCCCAATTCTTTATGTTTTGGATAAGGATATTAACGTTGAATTTCGTTGTTTTCCCACTTATTCTCATTGTTTATACATATCATGATTCAGTCAATGAGATGATGATGAAGTCAAACGAAGTGATTGAATACATTCACTGAAGTAACTGGTACTAGCGTTAGTGTTTTAATTCATGTGCGAATTTCACAGTGAGCATGTTCAATACTCTTACTCCATTGCATAGATAATAAATAAATCAGTACAAAAGAGCATAAAACAACAATTCTTGATGGTTAACGTGAAAGTGAACTTGGATTAACAATAGCCTATCACTAGCTAGCTTGTTTATTTAGTAGTTGTATTCGTCAAGCGAATGAAATCTATAAAACCACACTTCAAATACACTTCATATTTTGATTATCACGTATTAAACCATATATTTTATGTAAGTTACTTACCAACACCAAAAACACCGGCTTCTGAACATCCTTGAACACTATTTGCTGGTGGAGGAATAGGATGAATACAACGAAAGCATGGAGCACGATATTCTGAGATAAGATTATTTCCTGATGATATATCTTCTTCAGATAAGATTTGTTTCGTTAGATATACTGTCATTTGTCCCTCTAAACGTAAAGCGCTACCACTAACAAGTGGTTTAGGTCCAGTTATAGCACAAGCTTCATTAATAAGGTAACGTGTGGCAAGATTATCTGAACAATCCATAACAATATCATAACTAAAATTAACAAACAAATGAAAAGTATCATTAATCTCCCATTGTCAAATATCCTTAATGGCTAATTGAATGATAAAATCAACCTAGAATCACATCACACACAAGTTTATCGATTCAAGTTGATACACTACACAGAAGTATACAAAAAACAGGTGAACAGAAACGGAGTGATATCTAAGTAGTGACCTGTTTCTATGTTTAGCTACAGATGAAAACGGTCCTCTCCCAAATGCGCTTATCAAGGTTTCATACCCGATTTGTTTGTGAAGCCATTTAGGTGTACATATCCCACCCTCAACTGCATGACTTGATTGCTCCTCCCTGTGTGTGACCGCACACACACATGTGAATTGCTGGATATAATGGGATGTGACGTAATCCCTGATCACTGTTAAGGTTTAAGGTGAAGCATGTGTTTCGCCTTTTCCATAATGATAAGATTATCTGGGTAATATATCTTCTTAATGGTTGATGTTAGCCTACATGACAGGGGCACACTACTCAACTTTCTGTACGGTAAAGTGATATGGAAGCTTTTGTTGGGAAACGTACATACAGTTGGCTTCGGTGCAACCTAACTCCTATTATTATTTTTTAGGTTCCTAGTGGAACATAGGCATTCAGTAGTACTTTGCCATCTCACTCTCTTCTCTACAGTCTTCTCAACCTGGCTCCACAAATGCCCACAAGCTTTCATTTCTTCCTCACATCATCTCCTCCATGTCACCATCGTATCGGATGCCCAACTCGTCATTTCCCATGCGGCTTCCATTCGACGACCTCACCTGACACGTGATGTCCACAAACCATCTTCTCAGTTTATACTCAATCCAATTCATCTCCACTCTCTTCTTCTGCATATGTGTTGGACGATCGATTCCTGGTTGGTTCGTTTCCAGCCAGACAGAGTTTCACCTTGCTTATTCCTATTATATTCTGGCCATCTCATCTTCAGTATCCAATGAGTGTAGGCGGTAGCTGTTCATGTATGTCTGTAGTTTGTTGGAAATGCTTTTCGTAACGTGTCAAGTTTCTCAACCATCACATAGAATCATTGAATTTCTTGACTGACATTAGTGTTGAAAATTCACATCTTGTTCAGGCTTTATGCTGAGTGCAGTGCAGTGCAGTGCAGTGCAGTAGATCTCCACACTGATTATTTCAGATCAATGAAGGAACGACTGTCTTGCTGTCTTTATGGTCTTGGCTAGCTTTGACACCTTCATTTGTGCCTGTGCTGCTGCCTGTAACTGAAATGATGCTGCCTAAGTAGATAGGTAGGTGAAAGAGACTACTTCGTTTACATTTCTCCCCTTCATGATGATTGGTGCCTCTTGTTGTTGTTGGTGGTGGTAGTTGGGTATCTTCATCACCTATGTCTTCTCTACGTTCACCTGAACGAAGTCCCGTCTTCATTGGCCGCTCTGCCTCTTCTGCCAACTTGTTAGTTTTCACCTGTAGATCTTCAAGTTTGTGCACGACATTAGATATTAGACATAAATCATCATGGGTGAAATCCAAATCTTCTCCTGGGGTGTTTTCATCGGTCAAACAGCACATGCCCAACCTCTCGCTCCTCACAGATTCTTGCATGATCCAGTTCAGTCCAGTAGACCAAAATCACGAAGATCATCAATGATGGTAGGCAACTGTATCTTGTCTTACTCCTGTCTTCACTTCAAAGGCATCACTGAGCTTTCCATTGTGAAGCACTTGGCATGTCGCATGGTCATGTACCTATTGAATGAGGTTGATAAAGGTTTGTTGTACTTTGTGGTGTTGAAGCAGCTGCTAAATTACTTAACTTGTACATAGGGTTTATAAAATTTTTTGATGATAATGATAATCACTTTATTCCAATGTATGTAATATATGTGATCAGATTGTTCAAAATGTATTGAACAAATACATCACCTTGTTCAAGTAAACTTTGTCATCGAGTGGAACGCAGGTGAGAAACGATGAGTTGGGCGTCCGAGGTGAGGGTGACATGGAGGAGATTGTGTGAGGAGGAAATGAGCGGTTGTGAGCTGTCATGGAGCCAGGTTCAAATGATTACGGAGAACAGAGTGCACTGGAGACGTGCTACTGAAGCTTTATGTTCAACTAGGAACCCAAGGGACAAATAATAATAATAATATTCAATAAAAGGGTCTAATTGTTTTAAATGTTAAAATAGGCATTCTATTTGTAATGCTTACTTTTTTATTATATCAATTGCATTTGTATTATCCAAATGAGTTTTATGCGTAATTATTTTTACAGTAGAATTTAATCTAAAATATATTATTATATTAAAATTAGTGAAAATTATAATTAATTAATTATACTCTTTGCATCTATTTGCTAATGAATTAACTTTTGGCATATTTATTGTTGACTCAGAATGTGCAATTTGTCGATGAAGATTATTTAACTCAACTTTATCATCGTCTATTAATGCAATAGTACCTGAAATAATTGAAAAAGAAATGTAACACTAATCAACAATTTCATCTATATATATCTAAAATGTATTTGTACAAAATAAAATAAAATCTAGTTAGGAGTAAATATTATTATACCAGAGAGAAAAACTTGAACACTGTAATAGAATATAATTCTATATCACAGTTCACTTATCATATATATATATATATATATATATATATATATATATATATATATATATATATATATATATATATATTAGTCCCTTGGGTTCCTAATGGAACATAGGGCTTCAGTAGCACGTCTCCAGTGACCTCTGTTCTCTGAGATCTTTTGAACCTGGTTCCACGACAGCCCACAACCTCTCATTTACTTCTTGCACGATCTCCTCCATGTCACCCTCGCCTCGGACACCCAACTCGTCGCTTCCCATGGGCCTGACGCGTGATGTCCCCAGTCGGCCTTCTCAGTGTATGCCCAATCCATCTCCACTTCCTTCTAGTGCATATTTGTTGCGTGATAGGTTCTTGCTTTGTTGGTTCGTTCCCAGAGCTCCTTGTTGCTTATTCTTTCTGGCAATCCATCTGATCTTCAGTAGCGAGCCAGCGTAGGTGGCAGTTGTTGATGAATGTCTGTAGTTTGTTGGAAATCCCTTTCGTAACGCGCCAAGTCTCTGAACCATACAGAAGCACCGACTTGACGTTGGTGTTGAAAATCCGGATCTTGTTCCACATGCTGAGTGCAGATGATCTCCACACTGGTTTCAGGCTCATCAACGCCTGTCTTGCTTTTCCGATTCTGACTTTTACTATATATATATATATATATATATATATATATATATATATATATATATATATATATATATATATATATAATCATTCAGATAAGGAACGGTATTGTTTACTAGATTACATTTCATACACAATTTATTGTCCACAATCGTCGTCATATTAAGATAACTACAAAACTTTGAGATATCTTTTATATATTGATGATAAATTGGTTGCTTGTGGCTTGCAGAAGAATCCAGGACGCGCGTTTCGTCCAACTTGTGACTCGTCAGCTGGATGTGCCTGCACCCCAGTGATATTGTTCCCACTGGGACTCGGACCTCGTGCCCTTCGCTTCAAGCGCCAAGGCGTTATCCACTATGCCACAGAGGAACAATAGCCACTACTACAAGATTCTGCAAGCCACAACCAACCAATTTATCATTCAGGCAATATCGAGATATCCGCATAGGAGCCCATATACCAATAGAGGTCGAACAATTCGATCCAACAAAACAATGGAGAATAACAAGTATGTCAATAAATAGTAATATCCTTTATATTGTCTTAATTTCCTCGCTTTCATTGTGAGTGATATGAGTAGTAGGATTTTTTATATATCCGGAGCAAGTGCTGGAACGCTTATATTACGTGGAAAATCTTAGTGGCACCAAATAAGGTGATGCAACTTGAACATAATGCTATTCATCTCTTCAGCTTTCAATTAACCACCGTGTAGTGAATGAATTATTGTCAAAAGTCAGGTGTGATATGGGTACCAACAAAAATAGTATACTAGTAGCCTAGTAAAAATAGGTTCCGTAGAAGACCACAATAAATTGACGAAAGATCCTAGACACATCAATTATCCAACTCATTTATTATTGATTCCATCACCTTCAATCGAATGAATGCATAAATTAAAGTATTTTAGTGAATATATAGTAATGATAGATAATAGCGAATGGTCGAATTCAGGATGCACATTTCGTCCTATTTGGGACTCGTCACAGTATGATATACCTACCTCCCAGTGAGTGACGTTGTTTACACTGGGTTTCGAACTCGGGATCGACCGTTTTAAACGCCAGAGAGCTTAGCTATCCATTAGACCATCGAGCTACGAACCATCATTACTACATAATTAGAAACATAGGCAATACCGAGGTACCTGCGCAGGGGCTCATATACCAATAGAGACCGATCAATTCAGTTCAATCAACAACAGTATGATACAAGCAATAACACTATTCTGGTGATTAGTTGCCTAGATTACTAAACAGATACGTTGATTTACTGGTCTCCATACTATTCTGGTTAGCTGACCGAGTTAAACTAGAAAAGCTTCAACGTTATTTATTGTACTTTAAGTTATTCCCGCCACGAGGCATGTATACACTTACAACATATATAAATCGACAACCAATGGGAGATACAGAAAATCTGAAAAAAGTTTGAAGAACTACTTATAATTAGTTTAGCTAATCAACCACTTAGCGGTCAATCTACAGCATTTTACAGATTATTTTCTATTTCTCAAAAGTACTCTATCACCTCATTTATCTTTATAGCCAATATATAGAAAACTTTATAGGTTCTTTAATAACTTGAATTTCAGGAAAAATTTCATAAAAGAACTCACCAACTCCAGCAGCAGCAAGATAAATTGCAGCTGGGCAACCAAGTCCACCACATCCAACAATAAGTACACGTCCAGAACGTAGTTTTAGTTGACCTAGAGAAAAAAATTGAATAATATTTGAAAATAATTGACAAGAAGAATGAATGGAGTAGGCGTTAACAATACTAATAATAATTCAAGATTGTTAATTCTTCTGAGTGGATTTGTTATTTACGTCACTATCTCGATATCATTGCACTTGCTACGCTTTACCTAAGCATATGAATAACATAATGAACTGAATGCAAAGTGATATACATGCAACTCGAAATCCGTACAACAATACAAGACAAGGAATGATACTCAATTTCATAGCATTTCTAATTTTTAATTGAATAGTTTTTAAAGCAGTATTCATCATGAACTGACATTTGTTGGAGAACTATCGAAACCTGCAAGCACTGAATAGCTGTTTCGTCTGACTAGTATGGAACTCTTCAGCAGGATGCATGCACGACACCACCCTGCCTGACGAACATAGCATCTAAAATTCTAGGTCCTATAATTCTTCGACGCCTGAGTGGAGCTCGGGAACAGCAAGCCCGAGAAAACCAGGCAGTCTTTAGACACGGCCGCGGGTGTATCGACCAAATATTCACACTGTGCCAGACTCTGGAACATAGGGACGTTCACCGGCGCCCGACACTAGCTGTATTTCTCGACCTGAAGGCGGCATTCGAATCTGTTGACCAAGAAGTCTTATGGCAACGTCTCACACTGAAAGGTGTACCTAGTAAAAACATCGCCTTATTGAAGGCTCTCTACTCGGACACTTGTGGGCGTGTTAGAGCCTATGGTGAGATATCCGGGGAGCTGTACTCGTCAAGTGGTGTCCATCAATGGTCCTTACTCTCTCCATCCTTATTCAATTTTATTAAAGATATTCTTATGGAGGTATCCCCCCCCCCTCATAGGAGAATTTCCGTTAGACATAGAATACGCAGATAACATAGTCCTGTTAGGTGAAAGAGCTGGCAAGGTGCAGTCTTCTGAAAACTGAGTGGCAATTTGAGAATGTTTGGGATGCGTTTCTCACCACCCAAATGCAAGTCGTTGCTCCGGGATCGGTCTTCAGAGGTGCTTCGGCTAACAATAGAGAGTGTAATGGTTGAGTGTGTTGACCACTTCACTTACCTAGGAAGTAGGGTCAGCCCTATCCTAGTGGCTCACTGGCAGATGAAATTTCTACACGAATACAAAAAGATCGGGTGACTTTTCCCAACTTACGCCACCTTGTAGCTTGTACTGCACAACGGTCTGCTCTGTTCTACTGTATGGCTGTGAAACATGGCCATGGTTGTGAACCTTCATCGACTGAGGTGGTTGCGACACGTGTTACGTATAACTAGTCGCCGATTGCCTCGTAACACAATGTAGGCCGAAGCAGGTTCAGGCTGGGAAAAGGCCCGAGGAGGCCAGACCAAAACATGGCATCAATGTATGAAGTGTTTGACTGTTGGTTTGAGCCATGTAGGACGATGCAGACTAGCCAATTAGGGTCGGCGGGACAAGAGGATTTAGTGGTTCGAGACTAACTCTAGGTGATATGGCTGGGAATCGATGTCAGTGATGCAGATGTATACACACATTATCTTCATCTTAACATTATACTGGATCTCACTACTTCCTCATTCTTTTCTCTCTTTTAGTACTTGACGTTTCTTTTCACTGAATTTTCTTTTCTGTATCTTCCACTTCACTGTCTTTTTACTTGATGTACTGATATGAGCTGTGCCAACTCGGACCATTATGCAATAATCCCTGGTCCTATGTCGATTTGCATGGATGGTGGGCCAGGGATCGAACTGAAGACCTTCAAGATTCACGGCGAACGCGGTTACTAATCAAACACTGGGTTCACAGTTTCCCACTTTTTTTTAATTTGTGTGATGAATACTATCTTGAAAATAAAATCCCTATTCATCTCAAAATACATTACTGAGTCATCTTTGTCCATAAAACACCATAAGGCATAAAAATGAAATCACTGGTTTCAAAAATAGGATAATTATCATTTGACTATCTGAGATAGCCGTAGTTTGGCAGACTAGTATTCATACTGGGTGATGATTGAAGGTGAAATGAAAATCTGGACCTCAGCCGGATTCGAACCAGCGACCGCCGGGTTTCTGGTCCAATAATTTACCAACTGAGCTACGAGGTCCAACTGCATACCCGGTGGTCGCTGGTTCGAATCCGACAGCGGTCCAGATTTTCATCTCACCTTTAATCATCACCCAATATAAATAGAATAATTCACAATAATTGAATTCATTTAGCGTGAAGTTATCTTAGACCCTTGGGTGCGTACAGAAATCAGTGAGGCGTCGGTAAAAAGTAAACCTTTGAACTCAGTTATACACAATAATACTACTATCTTTTAAAATATATAAAACAGTACGACCGATCATACTAATTTGAGAAACCTTCTTTCCTTAAGTGAGTTTGTTGTGACGAGAATAAAGCGAGTGTTTTTTAACTTCAGGAAACACTTCTGGATAAGTAGACATACACTCCAGTAGAGGACGATTCTAGGTTAGAAAGTTAAAAACTCATCTTTTCGATGAGTTTTTTTCTTAACCTTTAACTATAACAATCCCTCTTCGATAGAAAATTAGGAGTTGATTAAATAAACAAGGGATTAAGAAAATAAAAGCCATAGTTACGTAATACAGGATTTATCTTGAACAGTCAGTGGTTCATTATAGGCACGACAACGAAAAAGGTTGAAGACATAACGTTAGTTTAAATTCCTAAATGGCTAATGCTGCAGCTATAACCAAATACCTTGATCTTATTTCCTTTGAGTGGCTGGATGGAACGGTGTAAAGGATTTTGAAAGAGTTCTCTAAAAGGGCTGAACGACCTGACTTCAAAAAGTTTTGCGTTATTCAGCTGGAGCTATATTACCGTTCTCCCGTTGCTGATGAAGAACTACAAAATCTTTGAAGAACTCTAGTAAAAACCAGTTTGTTTTCTATGTGATTACATTGATTCTAATAATATTAACATTGGATTACCTACGAGCCACCTAAAAGAACTAATATTGAGATGTACGTTTAATATACAGTTTAAATTCAATGATATAATTTATAATCAGATGGACGGTGTTGCAATGGGGTTTCCACTAGGCCCTGTCCTGGCTGATATCTTTATGGCAAAGCTTGAAAAAGGGGCCCCTTAAAGAGATAATTTCGGAACTTTATTTGTATAAAAGGTACATGGACGACACCTTTCTTATTTGCAACGAAACATGTTCAATGGACGAGCTCTTAAGACGTTTCAAGGAATTTCACCCATCGATTAAATTCACTGTAGAAAAAGAGTTAAATTCATCGTTCCACTTTCTAGACGTAAGGTTAAAGAGAAGGGATGATGGCTCTATACAAAGATCAGTCTATCGAAAACCAACTTGGACCGGTCAGTTCACTAAATTTTATAGTTGGGTACCTCTTGGTTGTAAGAGAAATCTCATTCACTCACTGTGTTCTAGAATCTATGGAATATGTTCAGAAGATACGGTTGATGCTGAAATTGAAACTCTTAGAATAATACTATCTAATAACGGATACCCTAAAAGATTTATTGATATGAATCTGAAGAAACGAACCACTGCCCATCCAATTACAGTCCCTAAGAAAATTTTAACCATGAATCTAGAATTCAAAGGAGACACCACAGCAGAAGTGTTGGAAAATCGTCTGTCAAGATGTATCAATAGTAGCTTCTATGCTGCTAGACTGAGATTGATATTCTCCAGCTGCTGTCTGATTCGTCAATGCGTGAAGGATAGGCTTCCACTTATGTCTACATCTATGTGTATCTACAAGTTCACATGCTCCTGTAAAGCTGACTATATTGGACGTTGTAAGCGGGCCTTTCGAAAACGTGTTGCTGAACACTACTCGGTTTGGCTTACCAGAGGCGAGTAAAGGAAGACGACTTCATCCATATGTGAACACCTTGTTGAATTTGAACACTCAGCACCTCGAGATTCATCCTTTAAAATAATTTACAAAGTTAAATTGAACTACTTCAAAGGTTTACGTTCCAACCACTTATGCATAACTGAAGCATTAGCTACACATCAACAAAAACCGAAACTTTGCATTCAAAAATGCTTTGTGAAACTACATTTTCTCTACCTTGGTCTTAATAATTCATTTTGTTGATTTTGTCAATTTCAGTTCACTTCACTTTGGTATACTTCTCTTCTATTATCACCATTATCACCAATTTTCACTTCATTGACAACATTTGACCTATATTTCACTAGTTAATATCAATTGATTCCTTGTTCATTGACCTATTTTACACATTTCAGCTTAATTATCACCGTTTTACAATACTTTGACAGCACTTGTCTCTTATCTCACCACTTGTTATCAATTCGTTCCTCCTTTTTCAATGACGCATTTTCTATCTCTTCCACCTGAACAAATACCACCACCACCACCCACACCGATTGTATATTTTGCATATTGACTGACCAAATCTCTTTTTAGTGCAATTATCTGTCACTTTACTGAGTATAAATACGACTGTACAGATTGATAATGAAGTCGTTGAAAAGAAATATTTCTTTGCTGATACATGCCTTGTACTTGTTAATAAAAAAAACCCAGTTTTCCGCTCAGATTCATAAACAAGAACTTAAAGCCAAAGAACACAATCGAATGAACAAAATTAGAGCGAGAAAAGATTCTTTCGCTGAACCTTGGATTCAAATCTGACAACGAATTTTAAGGTCCTTAAATAGAGTTTACTTTGCCACCAACCTTCGCATAGTTTCTCCTGGAAGAGACGGTTTCATCAGTGTGGAAGAAAGGTTGATGCATTGCACCACATTAATGTGCGTACACCAGTTTCCTTGGTCCTTTGGAGTCAAGTACATTGGCTGTACCATGAACCCGTCTGTAAAACGTACTCGAGAACACTACCCAACATGATTAGCAAAGAAAGAACGGAAGTGCATCCTAAGCTCAATAACAGAACACCTTGTGAACTCAGGCTGCTCAGCCCTTTTTAGAGAACTCTTTCAAAATCCTTTACGCCGTTCCATCCAGCCGCTCAAACGAAATGAGATCAAAGTATTTGGTTATAGCTGCAGCATTAGCCATTCAGAAGTTCAAACCAGCGTTGTGCTTAACGTTTTTCATTGCCGTAGTCCGTACAAAGCATTGACCGCCATAGTCAAACTTTGTATTACGTAATTGTACCTTTGTTTTCCTTAGTTATATGTCATTTAAACATATACTCAGTTATTTATGTCTCAAAAATTATGGGAAATCGGATGCCAAAACATTACCACATCAAGAAAACAATAAGACATGAGGTAAAGAAACGACTTATGTCAGCAAAAGCTGTAGGAAGATATAAAACCCTAAAAAAGGAAATAAAGGAAATAGAGACAAGCTACACTATGTTATAAGCGAAGGTGTGAACACATCTGCTTTACCGCCATACACCTTTAGTCATATGACCTGAACTCTTTAACCATCGGTTACAGATGTCTTATGGAGGCCGATGAAAAAGTTCACACTTCTTTAAGCGGCTCAGACCTCTAGTGAAAGACATCGCAGACTGCTCTTTGTTCAAGGAGCATATGTGGCGCAATATGGGGATCAAGAAATGCACGACACAAAACATAACACTATAAACACACGAAAGTGACAGGTAAACATGAGCTAACGAAAGTAAAAACAGCAATGAATCATTAAGGAAACAGTCTCAAGCCTACATTCACGGAAATATTCACTATGTTCACCTTAATTCTGGTTAACAGGAAAACAATAAAGATGCAGCATGATCACGACTGATTTCGATTCCTACGCGTACCTGACAGTGTCTGAAGCTACTGATTAACATAGTCTCTCTCATCTTATCCACAGATTCGTGAAGCACCAGGATATGTAAACCTACCACGACAGTTAAGCATACAGAGTCGTCAGACGTCAGCGAGAAGAGGTTAGGTTTCGTGGACGTGGAGTAGAACTTCCTACATTGCCGCACTATACACCCAACGTGTTACAGCGAGGCTATCACGAAGGCAGGGAACGTAATCCCCATTTGCGTTTCCCGAGTAGGTTTTTGATATACGGCCAGAAACCTCATTAATCGTATCTTTACCAACTACACAAGTACATAAACGTTTCCACAGTTTCCAGCGGTTTACCAGCAAAGGTAATTGAAGCTACAGGCTTCTACCAATCTTGTAGATGCGATTTCATGGAGCAAAGCATATACCATCTTTGCGGATACTGATAGCCTATGATTGAGCAGCCTATATATCTTCACGTTGTAAAATACTATCATCAGCATATTTAGGGTTAAAAGTCTTCCATCTGGTAACAGGCTTTCGCCAACACTACACACCTACTTCATAGCCGTTCACAGAATGTCATAAATGTTAAAATTGAAGAAGTATTGAAACATCAAACAGCTTCGCTCATTCCACTGTTAGTTTCGAAAAATGAAGAAAAGTGGTAGTATGTTCTCATTCTATTCCAGGTCGAATCGAAAAATATCAGAATTCTCAGCAACAAAGTGCATGCTGGTACAGCGGGTTTGAGTCACCGATATTGTGCGACGGCTAATGATACTAGCTGGTTGCCCAGACCTCAACAGGCAGGGGAGATTTGAACCCATGACTGGAAGCTAAACGCTTAGACTAATGAGCCATAGCTTCACTCTCTAGATTAAATGACTATCAAGCTTCATGAACTTTAGGTAAGTGCTGCATGATCTATTACGCAAGGAACTTATGCATACCATTGTAGTCACTATCTGTTGGAATGGATTAACAAGCACCAAGATGGTTGAAAAGAGTTCGCAAAGAAACAGTGTTTATCTTAAAGAAGTAGTTTTACTCGCCTTTTATTGATGTCTTGTAGGACAAGAAAATAATCGTTTATACTTTCTGAAAAGTCTATAACTTGGATTCAAATCAGCTGTGTATTTAGTAGGATTATTGCGAAGAACCAATTGCCTTATGTCGAGTTGTCTTGAACGACGATTTTGGTGACCATCAAAAACTCAAAGTGAACTTAGCACATATCGAAGTATGATTAAAGCTTAAAGAGACGCATCAGAAGGAAAGATAGTCTTGAATACATCCTTGCAAGTGGCCTTACCTTTTTATGGACCAAATACACTATAAAAGAAGAGTATTCGAAAATTAAGGCTTTTTGATGTAGCTAATGCTCGCAAGCTATGACTTATATCTACTAGATTCTTACATGAGAACTATGGTCTACAAAAGATTTCAAAGCTAAGAACTGCTATACACTTTTTAGCTAATAAGGAATATGCGTCGAACTACAGTAAAAGACCAGGCTTCTTGACACTTATTCCCATGTTATAATTCAGTTTTCAAATCTCTGTTAGTTTAGGCTGATAAACATGTTGAACAGTTTTAGTTTGTGAGACAGTTAGCCTTCAGTTAGTCGATCTGCTCGACCTCATAAGGCTTACGTTACTATAAACACTACACAATGTGAATGACACTTATTTACTATTGGAAATAAGTTACTACTTCAGCGATAACAATTTAGAGAAAAGTATAGAAATTAAAGTACATTGATAACATTATAAAAGGTTAAACTAACCTGAAACACCGAATTGGGGCAAAATTAGCTGTCTGCTGTACCGGGAAATCTCTGCAATACTCAGATCACACTTCTCCTGTCAAAGTATTGGAAACTATCAAAATCAGTCATCACAAACTCTCAGTTGATAAAGATGAAAAGTTATTACTGAATGAATGAAGGTAGAATTAAGTTTTGCTAGTAATAACACACCCAAGACTATTGGTATAATAGTTTGAGAGAAATAGCTTAATTTTTTTATTACTACCTCCTCACCCAACTCAGACTGCATCATCTAATATAAAGATACTTCTTGTTTTCCACTCATTTTTCAAATGTTTTACGGCTCTATTTAAATAAAAACACATTATAAACAAAACAAAGACGTAAACAGATAAGATGTTGTGATGAATAGGGGAAGGGTATCCAACTGATATCATAAAACCATATTTTGAGAGAGAGTAACAGCTAAGCAGCCAAATGAAGATATTCTGCTTCATGGAAGTGACACTTGTCAGATGAATGTTAGTTACTGTAATACACGTCAAGATTTACAGGGGAAAAAATTAAAAGCTTTTAGAAAACTGTACTTAATATTGTTTTGAACGGTAAGCAAGTTACGAGACTCTTTTAATAACTAACCAAATGAATTTTCTCAGTTAAAAAAAATGAAATCAGTATTTCTACTAATTACTAGCCTTTACATTTCACACGTCTAGTAAAAAAGACGATCGACTTAAAAGGAAATCAAAATACCAGTGGTAATTTTGTCTGAGTTTTTATTTCTGTTCTCCAATTTATCGTAACCCTAAAAAAGAACATCTTATATGACATTCTTTAAATTTTAATGTGAAAAACTATTAGCGCTGGTCGTTTACTGTAGAGCTGTGGCTCAATGGTTCATGGAGATAACCATCAACCATTGAGTTACGGGTTCCAGCCTCGCTCCATCTACAGAGGTTTGGGGAGCCAAGTCATATCATTAGCCCTCACATAACATATACGGCTTACTGACTACTGCACGAATGTGCACAAGGTGGCTGAGCGCGTTTTTACTGTAAATTCACCGATCACCGACTATGTCTTTAGGTAAAGTATAAACCTACCTCCATTGGTTCAAACCAGCAGGGCGAACGGTTAGAACTACACTATTTGAATTGCTTTTAAACTCCAATATTGATGGAATTCTTAGGATAGCTTTAGAGGCTGTGGATAACGGTGATTTAAATCCGCCATTTGGAGAGATATTACGATCATGAACATGCGCATGATCCAATCTTATTGTTCTACAGAATACGGGCTTAAAAATCGCATGCAGTCAGTTGGTAATAACTGTTGGTAATCATGGTATGTACTTTTTGCTAGTATGGAGTATAGCGCTTTGTAAGAATGACACAAGCCTGTAACTGTAGTCCTTCTTATTGGACTATTGGAAACAGATGAAGAGTCTCAGTATACGAGTTATGTAGGCGGAAGTGTGTTTCGGGACAGATTAATTTTCGTACGGCAAGTACCAGAAAGATAACTGCTAATCAGTGACATCTCCAGCGATATGTTGAAATTTACTTCTACTCTCCAAGTTGAAGATGTTACTTATCTCCGCAGTAATGTTTTTATCCAGCGGCGAAATCCTGCGGTTTGGGCATCTAAATATACTGCAGGTGATTGTTTTTGCCTTTGCCTCACAGTAAAAGCTTTACTTACTTAAAAATATTGTGTGCATTCGATTCTAATGCCTGACATGTCTAGAATGAATTGATGACACTATAGTTGGCTGAAAGTTGGACAAGCAGCTCTGGACACAAACCTGGTGAATAAAGGGTAGCTCGGTGGGTACACTGATGCATCTTGACTCAATGAGAAATTCCACTACTCACACAACAAGGTCACTTGAAATAGTAGTCAGTATGGATCAAAATCGAAGTCAGTGGCAATCCTGCTGCTTTTGATACTTAAAAGCTAAACACTAAGAGATTTGGAAATGAAAATAATACCTTAATATTTCAGCTGTTTGTCTTAATACTACGCCTGATAAACTCTACATTTACATCCTCGTTGCTTTGCTTTGCTTAGCACATCTCTTCGTATCCCATAGATCAATTAGTATCAGGACAGGACCTGGAAGAAATGGATAACGGTTTAAGTTGCCACTCTACACATCAAGACAGAAGGAATCGAAGCGGGATTAAAAGTCTTAGAAACCAAACAAACGAGAGTTAAAGTAAATAACGAAATGTGATAAGATAGTCAATATGAAAATAAGGTGTGCACGCACTGTTCCCTTCACAACTGATTCTAAGTCATATTGTTGAGACCTCAATCATCGATCACAGCTTAGCTGACATGAAGCAGTTTAAATTGGCTGGGATAGGCCACATGAATAAGCGCGACATTTTGACCTTTAGAAGCAATTAATTTTCATGATGTGGGCTGCTGCATAACGTCAACCGCCTTCACACCTTTATCAGCCGTTAAGTCAATTCCGGTACCCACTAGCCTTCCACATTGTCACCTTCTAGTCTTTGTTCAATTCTCTCGGCTAAGAATCCTACCTCACTTTCGATTCTTTACAGCTCTTAGTAACAATTCGACTTGCCCGATCCGCTAAAACAGTGGGAAAATCAACAGTGCATATTTTCGTGAAATAATCTTTCGCTGCCATAGTCTCACTATCAACATTTTCAACTAGGTATTTTTGACAAATCTGAATTACTGCCTGCCACTACCTTTGTCTTTCCCATTCCTTTAGTCCTCGCTCCCCATCACTGAGTAGGCTCTTCCATAGTCTACACTAAAGTTACTTTTGATTCTCATTGTGCTCTGAGCCTTCAGCAATATGTTCACATGAATCCATCAGTTCGAATGAGGCACCCCAGATCCACTACCTCTTTTCAACCTTTGTTCTTAAGTCAGTCTTCTCCACTTCTAGCTTCAGACTGAAGGTGATGCCAAGCATCATCACGATAACATTGTCATCTCTGAAATAGCCATGCAGTCAATTAGTCGTTCAAGGTAGACTCAGTATTCTAATTATAGAGTTGGGCTTAAAGGCTTTCAGGTTGTAGTCTTCCTATATCCATTTAGGTGCAAGTATACGAATGCTTGAACCAACGAAGTCACTTTCTAAGCACATGCTACGACTCTTCACCGACCGTCTTCAGCGATAACATGGTAATCGGTCTATCTGTATCTATCTTCGACTTGAGTTGGCATGTGTTGCTGTTCCTATTAGTTTTCATTATAGCACAGGTTACTGGAACCGTCACCGTCTGTGCAGTTTTCGCTCAAAGATTTGAAGCTATACTTACATAAACCTTAAAAGCTGTGATAAGTAACAAGTGGTCTTGGCTACTCGGTGTAATTCTGCAGAATCGACACACTGGTCACATGAGATCAAGTGAATGACCACAAATGTAGTGCACTGCGCTAATTTACTCGAATTCATGAGTAGGTTAAAGCAGATACTACCTTCCATATAAGAAGAGGGCATTAGAAAAGTTTAGCTTCAAAAATTGTTGCCAGCAGTAAGGGTTTTTCGTGCTCAGCGTTAGCACACTGAAATCCAAAATCAGCAGATTTAAAAAGGCGGTGAGTGACAGATCTCAAGCAGATACCCCACGTTTTCTTTGACCGCATAAAATTAACTCATTTTCTCTGTTACATACTGTGTAGAAACAACTTCCACGGTGTAGGTTAACGAGAAGTACCAACCACTCACTTGCTCCCAGCACTATACAAGACCCAACAAATCGTCCATCCACACATTTGTCTGCACCCTTGCTTTCACTTCCTGATACCTTGTTATGCCCCTTACAATTTCCTCAACTATTGCTAAATATCTAAGTCAACAAATTATCATTCCTAATTTCTTAGAATTATACTAACAATTTCACATTGGAGCTTACTTTCAAATTTGATGCACAGGATGAATACTATCAAAAGCACTCAATTTTAATGCAAAAAGAAAAACGTTTGAACATAACTACAATATCAGGTGAACTATGTACTCAAATAGGGAGAGCTGGGCGAATCGACAAAGCATCTTCGAGGTATCTACGGCATACCATGTCCACAAACCGACAACAGAGACTGTCTCTTGCAATTCAGTTTTTATAGCCACTTATCTCCAGCCAACATTAAATCTAAGTATAGGGAGAGATGCTTTTTTACTTGGCGTTCATCGAAATCACACCAAGGATGGATACAGATCCTTAACCCTAAGCCATGGATGGATTACCACTCTTTTTGAAACACCTGCTGAGAATCTGATCACGGGATAGTACGGTCACGTACGTTTGGGCCTTACTGGTGGCAGGAAACAGATAGCAGTCAAGCCTCTGTGTATTAGACTGGAAGATGCGAACATCAAGGGTGTTTGGAGAGCGTATAGTAAGGCACTTATCTGAACATAGCAGCGGTTCTCCTCCTGAAGAAGCCTGGTATCATTTTTAACCTGTTGTAGAAACAGCGGTAAAGACAGTAACCTAGATCCAATGATTAGAAAAAACCAGTGAATTTCCGCAAGCTCATCCGAAATGACTGATGCCAGAAAACTCATTCCAGCTGGCTCTGATCACATTGAGTTCAAACATAAACTAATAAAGTCTTCGTAATGATTGTGAGCAGCAGTGGATGATCAAAGTTATGCAGAAGCCAACAACATCAGTTATTAATTGACAATTATTTAGGCTTATTAAGGACACTGGCAAGAAGACGAATTGTGAGAACATCGCTGCAAACAGCAGGGCCTTTCACAACAGTAAGCCAGAAATTTGAGCGAAACAACTTGAAGCACAGTTCAACTCTAACACAGAAACGATTTAGTCACCCAGCAACTAGCCCGAACCTAAGTGGGACTCATGTTGATTCTCTAACTCTCCTTAAAGTTGAGGTTATTTCTAACTTAAAATAGTCCAAAGCAGCAGGGCCTGATGGTTCACCACTAGGAGCTCTTAAAGATAGAGGTAGGGAATTGCTGACTTGTGGAGGTATTGAATAACATATAGGAATTAGAAATAGTCCCATAGACCAGTCTACTACGCTAACCGTTTCAGTTTATGAAAAGGAGAGAAGTCCTCATGGAACAGTCACGGGGGAATTAGTTTGGCTAACACCCTGTCAAATATGCGAAGCCTAATTATGGCTCGAGAAAAGCGAACTTGGGTAAACAGATTTTGGAACACAGGTATATTTTCTGGCGACCGACACTTGTCATACTTTTTGACCTGAAGGCGGCATTCGATTGTCGGCCGAGAAGTATTGTGTGGGTGTTCAACTGAAGAGAGTAATGAGCAAGTATATAGTGCTAACCAAAGCTCTCTACTCGAACTCATGCAGCTGTATGGGACTTAAGGGAAGTTTTCATCTCGTGACAACTAGTGTCCATCAGGGATGCCTACTGTCACCATTCTTGTTTAACTTCGTTGTGGATTTAGATATAACCTGAGGTATTTCTGACTTCAAATGGATTGACTTAGTCTCTGGAGAGAATCTAGTTCACTTAGAGTACACAACATAATCCTCTTGAGCGAAGATATTGATAAGATGCAAGTTCTTCTGATGGAGTTGAACAGAAATCTAAGTATATTTGGCATGTTTCGCAGCTGTTAAATGCACTGCGACGCTTCAGGACAAGTTTGCAACCACTTCCAGTTTAGGAATAGGGAGTAAAGTGATACAGCACATTGACTACTTTACTTACTTCGGAAGTTCCATAATCTCCAGTAAGTTGGTGGTTGACGACCTCTCAGCCTGGTTACAAACCACCCGCTTGGCATTTACCAACTTGACTCACTTTTGTCACGACCAGCACATCTATCTCGCTTACCACTGTGGAATCACCATACGAACAATGTTGAGGTCAGATGAAAGGTATTAAGAACGTCAGTCAATGAAGTAGGGAACCTACTCCAACTGATGTGGCTTGGATGTGTTGCATATGTTGATCTACTACCTACCTTGACAGCTAATATTCGCCGAAGTAGGACTGGGTTGGAAAATGGCTGTACGGATGGACCGAAACGCGGTACCAGCATATGAAGAACTGGAGACAACATGGATGAATGGTTAGAGACCTTTGTTGAAATGGCTGGAAACGGAGCAGACGTTTTTATTCGTTAACGTCTTGCATAGTTTGAGCGTTTTCGCTAACCTTGACTTTCCCTTTCTTTATCATCTCATACACGATATTCTACCCTGATATCACTTTTTTACTATCCATTTGTTCTTTGCACGCTGGTGTGAATTGCGGCAACTTGAACCAATAAATTTTGGTGGCGGGTTTTACGTTGTTTTGGTTATGTAGTACTAAAAAAAGTTAGATAATTGCAGTGATAGCAACTTTTATCAGTTTTTGTCTATTTTGTGTTAACGGAATTTAAATTATCTCGAGAAACACGAGTCCGTTGCTAAGAAGTGCAGAGGATACCTGAATACTCAATACATAACCAAAATTACTCAGTTGAAGAGTTTAATGAAGACAGAGATATCAGTCACATGAATCAAGGTTTAAACACTTTTCTACAAGAAAACTTCGTACATCACTCATGTTACACATTTCTTATGTCCATAATCTCATAGGGTAGCTTATTAGTTACATACTTGCATACGTGGCAGCTACTTTTTCTTGTTTATATCAAACTAGGCAGGGATTACACAATGTATAGACCTCCCACTACATATGTTCGGGTTCATTGTTTCACTGAAACAACTTACTTTGACTAAAGTGGAATAGATATAAGATTACTCAGAGAACACTTTAGTGCAGCAACTCAAGTTTAAACATCAGGGATGGGGCAAGATAATTGACTAGACGAAACGTAGGATCATTTGCCAAGCGCGGTGTAAACTTACACTGAAGACAGACGAAACTTGGGGCCAAAGGTGATTAAGCGCTACGTCGCATCATACTGACAACTTGTTAGCACGTTTGGACGAAATATAGAATCAGAGTTCTAGCAAACAGGCCACCCTGCTTGAGAAAAATAATCCTTACAACAGTATAATTTTTATTAACTTTCTAGAATAATAGCTTGTTTATAAGACAGTTGTGGCAATATAGACAAGGCTTTCGAAGCATACTTTCCTCCCAATTTTTTAAGTCTAGGAAAGTCAAACATAGTATCGCATGAGGGTATTCCAAATACGGCCTATGGTCGCGGATTGGTGAGTTTTATGTGTATATATATAACAAACTTCCGATGTCTTTCTGTGCTTATGTTTACTAAATATGACCTAAATAGAGTGAAGAGCAACTAGTCATCTCCATTTTCTGCTGATCCTGTAATTCTACAGTATTTTGTCCAGCCTTTGTTACTCTTTTTCATATATAAAACCACAAGATTTGGGATGACGGTGGAGATTGAGAATAGCAGCCAAAAACAACCAAATAACTTTGGGACATGCTAGAATTGCCGGACTTCAGAAAATAACTTTAGTGGTAATAAGTGTGCCAACAAAATTAAAAAATAACGAATATAAATCTATATGAAGGTGCACGTCGAGGAAGATAGCTGAGTGTACATCGACCATTTCCGTCTGTATTTCCTTCTAGGTAGCACTATTCCTTTAATGTGTATCACGTTAGCACTTCGGTTTGAAAACCTCTTTATATAGCTATCCAACGGGGTAGTGTCGTAAATCCCCAATGACCATATTTGGCTTGGTCACAGCCTCACTAGCCACTTAGTGTCATTGGTTGGTTCCTCGCTGTGGCTGCTTTTCTTCATCTTAACCAGGATCACTTCAAGGCACATAGAAAAAAACATGCAGTACAACGGTTTGAGCCTCATCGTTTATGAAATATTTGACCACATAATTTTTAAATCCGCTTGTATGCTTTTGATAAGACCGGTGTTATCAAGAAAGTAATATGAAAATTAGGATCTAACTAAAATAACTTGGTACTTTGATTTATCTAGTGCGCCAGCATTTGTCTACATTTTGACATCGGTTTATGAACGAAGTGCTACGCGATTAATTCAGACGAATGAAACTAAAAATAACATTTCACCGGTAGCAAGTGGTGACATTTTTACACTAGGTTCCAGTGTAGCCGAAATAAATTCGAAATGATTACCGACAGTAAACTTGGCGGTAGTCTTCTCTTTTCCTAATATAAATACTTCTACTATTTAACCACTATTCCTCTGAAGTTATAGCAAAACAAACAGAATTGAGGGTCTCACCAACTGTTTTAATATTGTAGTCCGCCCTAGAACCACTGCTATACAACTGGAAAAATATAGAATTAGGCTTCCTGAGACGTTCGAAGACATAAAATGGAGCAGCTAGGAACAGGGATAAATAAAGCAAATGAGAGAAACATGGAGAAAAAGAAACTGGATCTTGCTGAGAAATGCCTCCTTTCGGCACTCGCTTCCGATAGAATTCGGTGGACGGCTCAATACAAAAACTTTGACTCAGTTTTATATAATGATTTGAAGTGATTACTTATCATGATTTAAAAACTTGCCATTTGACTTCAAATTCTTGATGGAAATGAGCACCAACAGGGTTATTATATACAAGAAATCGATTTTAATATTCGCGAATTTGTATTCAGTGCAACTGATGTGGTTAAAATTCAGTCAGCGGGAGTCAAAGTAGTTTCCCGAAAAGAGTGTCTACACCCCCAAGAAAGAAGCACGTGCAATGACCTTCAAGTCGAAACTGTACCAATCCAACATCAAATGTACAAGTTGTTATTGGCAGAATTGAAGAGATTTTCGCGTAAGCGGCTTCCACGTCTGGAATCGGTTCCAATATCCAATATTGATAGTGCGAGCGTAGAAAACTGGTAGATTTTGATCTCTCGCGTCTAGTTCTTAGGGCTTGGTTCCAGTTGTTCGGTTTACTCCTGCAGTGGACGAGGAAATCCCCTCTGCTTTCTTGCTTTTAGCTTCGGTGAGGTGGATGTTTTGTGGGTTGGTAGGTTGTAATTTGTAGAGTGATTAGGGAGCTACGGGTTGCTGGGAAGTTTGGAGAACTGCCGTGACTCCTGTCCGTGTAGGTACCTGAAAGAGAATAGTAAGGTAGTGGTAAAGGAATGAAGAGAGATTAAAGAAGAGAGTGAAGTAGCACCATAGAGACTCTGGGAGCTGGGTTAAGGCCGTATCGCTAACCATCCTTGCCTTTAAACAGGAGTTTACGTAGAAAGCCACTCCCCCTCCTGCTCTATGTTCCCTGTCCCTGCGGAAGAGTTCCATGCCAGCAACACGCATCTCTTCGTCGGAGATGTCCGATGAGAGCCAGGATTCGGTGATGAATATGATGTCGTAGTGCTGATGTTCACGCAGCGTCCTCATTTCTGCTACCTTCCCTCTTAGCCCCCTAACGTTGCTGTACATACATATTAGAGTGTGCCTGATGAGAGGGGAGGTCTGGATGTGTATTTTTGCGGGATGAGCGCTTACGTGGTTGATTTTAGTGGTTGATCACTAGTTCCAGTGGTCATTAAGCTGCGCACAAATAAAGATTGAGAAAACGGTGGGAGTTAAAATGTGAAAATCGAGTTAATTTCTAGCGGTCTCATACCCACATCTTAATCAAGTGGCAAGTTGACGTTTTAGTGATTCAGACGAAGTGACCCTGAGAAGTTCCACAGTAACAGTTACACAGGAGTTGCCATCTCTCAAGAAGAGGATGTTGCGCATGGTATCTAACCTGCAACGTTCTAAGCTTAGTTCCGGTGTTCTCTACTATTTATGTTACAACTATGGATTATTAAGTGACAGAGTGGACGTCCAGAAGCGCTCAGTATGTTAAAGGCTATTATTAAGTCCCCCCTCACCCTTCTGCTTTCCAGGGGACATCGATCAAAAACACCAAGTCATTCGTTATATGTTTTAAACCTCAGTCCCCAAACAGATTTAGTCGACCTCATTTTGATGCATTCTAGGTCCAATCGGTCCTTTTGTTGAGAGGGGTGAAGAGGACAGTCATGAGCTCCAGACATGTCTGTATAAAGCCGTTCAAATTTGATGAGAGCACTTACAATCGAAGTATCCAAAAATTAGTCTCAGAAGTACTGGAGTCAAGTTTCCACGAAATGCCTTTCCGTCCCAGTTGAGATGGGATTTCAAGCTTCGAGGGGCTGATACCCTTAACTTCTTCTCCACCCGCCACGCTTCCGTTTCAACTGTGTTGGGATCATATGCACGACATTCATTATTTTTTGGATGTATAACTTCGCATTTTTCACAACTGAATGCAAGCCTTCAAGGCCGTTTTGAAGTTGAGCGAATTCTTCCCGTAAGGAGACACTATCTTCCTGACTCCACATTTCCCTCTATGGTTTCACGTTGGAAGCGAGAGGAGGATTTCGACTGGGACTTGTCCAGCCGACTAATCTGCGTGTGTCGGAAAAAGGGGAGGCCCTAATACTGATCTCTGAGACACTCTGCTCGGACAGAAAACCTACTCGAAAGCTAAATAAGCGGCTAAGTAGATATGAAGACAACCAGCCTGTAAGCGGTGACTCCATCCTCACCAACTTTTACTTATCAGTAAGGCAGTGATAATTATCACGATCGCACGCTTCAAAAGCGTCAAGACACATCATACGAATTCTACCTTGACGGTTGACGACACTAGTCCACATGTCGATTCAGGTGAGCAGGTTAGTAATGTAAGAGTACCGGTTTCCAAGTCCCCGTTGCGGGGGGAGTTCGAAACAAGACAAGTTCCCTCGAGGTCAAATTAAGTTATTATCCTCCCATAGTTCCATGTTTGGAAGGCAAGTTTTTGATCACGTTTATCTTGCTCATAAGTCACAAAACTATTCTATATACGAGGACGTCCTATCAACTTACCTGCTCTTAGTTCTAGTTAAATGATAACTTGTTATATGGTTTATGCTGTTTGCCGATGGGCTGAGGATTCGAAGAAGCCATTGAGCTGGTAGTAGTGTAAGGGTGTGTGTTACGATTCCGTAACGTTTGATCAACCCTGCTTAACTTGACGTGCTCTAGTACCTGCTTAACCAGTACTTTGCCTAACGTGTAAGTACTGATGACAAAGCACAAATCAAAAGGACTGATATGGGAATATAGTTGAAAAAGCAATGTATTTAATTAAAGTAAATTTAATAGTAATGGACATGGGCAAAGTTTAATCAACCTATCTGGCTTTTAAGGCCGAACTGGGGACTCGGAGTGAGTGCATGGTAGCCGGAATCATGTAGCGCAAAATGGCGCCAAGCCCCATCGGATGCGTGCTCGTTAAAACAAAACTTAAAACACCCTAAACATCCGGAGGCGAGCTAGAGGTTTACTTGGTTGATTTAATCTGTTTATTTCAGCCCTAGTTGTATTTTGGTGCCAGGAAGGTGCACTACAGTAAAGTGAACGTTTATTGAGACCTATGTCTTTTCAGCCGTCTGAAGGTGGGCGTAAAGTGTTGAGTTGATGGGAAAATCAGCTGAGTAGCAAGTGAGAAAAAGTACTATGTACTAGGTATCTAGAAGGGTGACGGCCATTGTTAGCAGTTCAATATTAATGTACGTCGGACAGAATACTCGCTATAACTTACTGTTAGCTTTCTCTTGAATGTCTCCGTCTACAAGGCTGTCGCCACCAATTTTTTAAAGGCACCCCAGCATGTGCATACTGAGTGAGGAGAAGTTCAGCCAAAGGTTAGTGTTGACCCTCTTACACACCGTACCAATACATTTCACTCAGGACTGTCACTCTTGCGCAAGTAGGATCGGTTCGTTCCTCTGATTCTCTAGGTGAAGTATCTTGTTGGACATAATTAGATATCTTTTGCGACGGCCTCTAAAGTGAAACAGTTAGGGGTGCCGAGGTGGTAGAGGCAGATACTCCTTCTTCTCCCTGCAACTGTATTCACTGCTTTTCTCCGTATTTACTCAAGCAAGTCAAAGTCATAGATGAGTTGGTGGGCCGTCGTAACATTCACTACCTTCTAATTTGGCTCAATATATTTTATAAAGATGGCGTGGAGCTGTTTTGGGGTTAGGATACCAGTCTGCTGCGCAAGAACTCTATGATCGCCTATGTTGCCACTCTTCTGGTTTTTGTTGGAGCGTTTAGTTCATTGGAGAATTCAAGCATCGTATGCGCTCCCCCTGTCACTACAGCGAGGGGATGGTGACTCAGGTTGTAATAAGTCGACTGAGCTTCTGATATCTGAGGTTACTTTGCTATGCATTCCTAGTCACTGAAGTTTCTGACCCAAATCATGGTAGGTAGTTGCGAAACATTTGAGTGCTTTATTACCTGGCAAACCTCTTTCGACCTATTCTGTTGACGAACTCCTGTGGAGGCAGCAGCTGAAAGAAAATATCAGGGCCACGAACTAGGTTTCTAGCTTTCGCAGGTACCCGGCTCCCACACGGCAGTAAAAATTCCGTTGCATATGATCAAGTGGGCATCGAACACTTCCCAGTCCACAGGACGAGGGCAACCAGCAAACAAGAAGAAAACGCCAAGAACAAGAAGCGCGAATTTCTCATAACTAATAGGGCGATGACCACCTACGAACAGGAGTAAACACGACGTTCCCGCTGTTCAGTCTTTCACGAAGAGTGGGGCTGGAAGCGGACCGTAGGTTGCTGCCTGAAACTGTGGCGATTGTCGCCCTCCAATAAACCTCATGCTATTCTTTTAAGTGCCTTCTAAGAAGGCTTATAGACAAAACTGGTAAAGGTTCGCGATAACGATTCGCCGTTATTTTTCTATAAGAGATATCCAGTGAGATGCACTAGTAAGATCGAAAAAGATTATATGGACTTCCTCTTTGACTGTTCCAGCCGCTTGTCCAGCTTTCCTAGGTGATTTTTAGTTGACTTCACACGACAAACTACTCCGGAAATCGTGTTTGAACTGCCAGTTAGAAACTCCCGAAACTATTCGCTTTAAGACCTTCAGGGACCTTTGATAATATGGAAAGTACTGCTATTAGTCAGCAGTTGATGGGGTTTTCCTGCCGCTTGTGTTGTGGGTCAGTCGCAAAGCCACACATTTTTGTTCTTCGGGTTGATCCATACCTTCGCGCAGGAATTCCACCAGGATAACGCACCTCCAGTCGTCGTAGACAGCAGGCTTGCAGTGTCAAATTTCGAATGGTTTATCTGAGGCTTTTTTCAGAGTGGCTGTGATCCAACATTGCTTTTCGCCGTGAGCGACCTGATGCATGACAGAATTCTCTGACTTGATTCTGTCTCGTAGTGGTCCGTACAACTTTAAAGGTTTGCAGTCACTTAGTCCCAGGATCCCATCTTCTGGTCTGTGTGTTTCCGAGTGATAAGAAGCGACGGCTTACAGACCTCGAATGAGCCATACAGAGTGTTCTTTAATACAGGCGATACTTCAGTACAATACTTGGTTAAAATCTTTTAACAGGGTTAGGAAGTCAAAATTGGAAGCTTTGACAAGACATGAAGCTTGACAAACTGATATGAATGCTGCAAACGTATGGGGAGAAATGAAGGAGAAGCAGTTACATGAATATATATTATTGAACTCATACTGTACCCCTGATATTGTGAATCGAACAATTTTTCACTTTCACATTCAGGCCTCTCAACGGCTGACATCATGATATCATGACACATACAGGCCTGGGTACACGTACAAGAGACCGCTACGCTCTCAGGGGACGGAAGGGCTCTCAATGACAAACAGTATGTTGTTTCGACAACCATTTGGAGGA